TTTATATTCAATATTGTACGTACCAAGATATTATTCAGACGTTTTTAGAATTATTGTACATAGTGAACAAATTTAAAGATAGTACAATTGAGMCGTACTTGTACTTAGCGGKACAGGGTTCTCAATTCGTTTATCGTTACGGCGATTTTTAGTAATATTTGAAGTATTACAACATATTAACAAGTTTTATTGTTTGATAACMAATGARTTTAATCAATTTATGATTATATTTTTAGTCTTGAATGAGTTTTACAATCGTTATTGGTAGAATCTTTATCGACAGAGATAAAAAAGAATATTAAATTTTNATTATTATAAGTAATAGCATGGCTCTGAGGGAGATTAGGGATTAAATGTCCCCGAAGCCGAGGGCAGATAAGTTGAAGTCCCGACGGCCGCAGGCCGGAGGGACTTTTACTTATCTGCCCGAGGCTGAGGGACATTTAATCCCTAATCTCCCGAGGAAGCCATGCTATTACTTTGTAATACCATGATTTCCGAGGAAAAAATTGAAGTTGAACTTGAGCGAATTTGAATTCTTGTTTTTTTGTATGCTCCAATGTTTTCAATTCATGCATGAATTGGAATATGACATGAAAAGAAAGGATACGCACTGTTCTAAGAGTATCACTCGCCGAACAACAGTACAAAATGATATTGATAATCCGACCATTGTTACTGATTTCCCACAACGAACTTTGTTTGAAATTGCTTTTCAGTTCTATTCAATGCTGAAGTTAACGAACCTTAACTTCAACCGCGAAAAGTTGTTTTTATATTTGCAAGTATAATGCCAAGAAGCTTATCAACTATTATCAAACATTGAAATTCGTCAAGTGCACATGCTCAGCGGTACGAAGTAGATACTCGGAACCAGAGCTACTCGGTCAATTTGTCCCAAAAATCATCCCACATTTCAGTGTGAATGAGACGATAACCAGACCGTTCATTGCAGAGGTAAAAAGAAGACAGCTGTAGGGACATTCAGTTGTCCCTGCTGGGAAGCAAAGGTTTCCTTTGCCTTCCGTTCCTCATGAATAACATGAGGGACGATTAGTCTAATCGTCCCTCATGTTATTATGCATGAGGGACGATTACTGGTAATCGTCCCTCATGTTATTATGCATGAGGGACGATTACTAGTAATCGTCCCTCATGCCATTCATGAGGGAGGGATGTTCGCTTGTAAACATCCCTCGGAAGACAAAAGAATCCGAGGTGATCATGGTATTATAGTGGTAAGCGTCCGTCGGAGGCAACTCTACTCCGCGGGATTCCTGTGTTAAAACAGAAAATCAGCCTGAGGGGGGAAGGGGGTTATGAAGGAAGGAAAGGCAGGCGTTAAGTTGGCGTTGTTGTTCACCCTTCTCCATTGTTTCTAAACTCTCTTTTCGGTCAGGATAAATCAACACAGGAAAATCAAGTAGAGAAAAAGTCCCTTTCTTTATGCTAAAAATTCGTGATTGGGAATCTTTTAGGGTGCCAATTTGGAACTTTGGAAATTTGGAAATTTGCATTTTCTGCAATCTCTTAGGATGCTGGAAAAGAGGAGAAAGAGCGCATCAATTTTCCTCTGCGTTTTGTTTTTTTTTTTATTTGAATATTTTATACATTTTATCAGTGGAACTGAATTTAACAATATTTGTTGTGCAATCTCTTAGGAGTTAAAAATCAGCCAGCCACGCCTTTTTTCAAGGCTTCCGGGATATTTTAGGGGTCTTTCTGAAAATTTCCGACGAGCATCCCCGGTACTTCTACCCCGGATTTCCCCCCTCCCCTCTTCCCCGGTGTAAGAACGAAAATCATCAAACGTGAATATGATACACCCTGTTTAGGTTTCGTAACAAAAGGTCTGGCGATACACATTAATTACATTCCTTTTTGTCATCCGCTTTAAGTAGTCTACTCTGCAAAGCAACGTAGAAATTTCTCTGTTTGTTATTAACACTAGAAAACTGTAAAAAAAAAGCTCAAAATGGTACGTATATAATTCGGTTACACTTGAAAATCGGATAAAATTGTCTTAAGATTGATTTTGTTTCTTTTTTAATAGACGACATACTCAGGTAAAGGCGAAAAGGTATTTTTTACTTGTTTTTTTCCAGAATTTTATTATTCTAGTCATGAAATGTAGACTAAGTAATAGTTTCTAATGAATGTGAGTTCATATATTTGCCATATATCAGCCAACTGTTGGACGGATGTTAGCGTTTGATCACATCACACTTTGGGTTGGAAATGCTAAACAGGTAAGATTTTAACTTACAGAAAGCTTGTGATATACAGTTTATTCTGTTTTGTACTAGTCCGTGACTCAATAGATAAAGTGACGTTTTTGGCTGCCATGTTGGCGTGTAAGCAAATATTCTTGCTTTTCACTCACGTGACCAACTCCTTTACAACGGCTGTGGTCCGCCATATTCGAGTACAGCTTTGCTTAGCACCCCATATAAACAAACTACTACAAATACAAGCTTTTAACACCTTTACACATCTTTATACGATGGTCCTATGGTTATTTATTAATTGTACCACTGAGGTCGACCTTGGCTCAACATGTAACATTAACGAAATTGATTAAGTAATTTAAAACTCTCATGACCCATGACATGACCCAGCATATTTCCATTTCTAAATCAAACTTAGCCTTTCGCACGCAACTCTATTCCTCGGGTCTTCTGGTGTTAAGGCAGAAATCGTCCGCAGGGGGAAGGGACTAGGAAGGAAGGGCCCTAATCTCTCTGCATCAGTTTAAATCAACACAGGAGGACCAAGGAGAGAAAAAAATGCGTTTTCTTAGGAGTAGCTTACGAAGAATGCTAGACCAAACTATAAGACGAATCACTTAAAAACTACTTACTTATTTTATATAAGATTCAATATGTCGGTACATTGATTATCGCCCGAATGCCGTTGAATGTCTTCAAAGAGGCTCCTGAAGGGGTAAAATGTGACTTGGACTTTTGCCTGGTTTTTGGCTGGGAAAATGGGATTGGATGCACTGGGATTGGAAATTTTGCCTACTGGGAATGGCAGCCGAACATTGAATGGGAGTGTGATTTGTCTTTCTGTAATCTATCTCAAGGATGTAAACGAATTGATGCAAAAAGCTAGTGGGGAAAATATAACTTCTAGTTCAGTTGGAACTTTCGAAAACATGCCCACGTACTTCTGTGACTTCTTGGACTAGCACTCATAGCAGACCGTTGCAGTATCGTAATCTTCAAAGCTTTTAATTTTTAACTCGAAGATTGAAATTAGAGCTAATCGAGCTTTGAAGATTTGAACAACGAAATGGCCTCACGTACTCAACCACTCACTCACTTTCCTGTAAACTTGAGACCGTGCGGAAAAACAATATAATGACAATAAACGTTGATACAAATGGTTAGATTGTTCGCACTTTATCAAGTCTGGAAACAAATAATACTGCTAATTTCTTCTAAATATTGTTGATTAAACAATAGGAAACAAAGTAATTGGCATAATGATTACCATTTTGTACTAGTAATTTAACTTGGACGAATCTTGGATTCAATTTAACAATTTAATGTTGTGCAGGCAGCCTCATATTATTGCACTCGAATGGGTTTTGAGCCCATGGCATACAAAGGATTAGAAACAGGCTCCAGAGAAGAAGTAGCTCATGCTGTGAAACAGGACAAGGTGACGTGTATGTTTGTTTTTCCGCTTTGTATACTTTTGTTCATATAATCTTTTGTAAAACTCATGAATAATTAATGAGGAAAACACAATAGAAATCACAAGCGTGAAGAGTGTTGTAATATTTGATACAAAACTGTCTTGATTTGCATAAACTTCAAATCTAATTTTCTCAGCCAAATTCAATTTTATCTTTAAGTTTTTAGTAGATTATGAATGCATACACCTAAACGTTTCACAAGTAATTTGCAACATTCGCGTCCGTGTTGTATGGGCTCGAGATTATAAAATNTTGATGTTGATGAACTTTCCCAATGAAGATTCAATCGAATATATCTATTTTGTATCTGAAATTCCCTGCATCCGAATAATCCCAAAATTGCGCGCAGAGGATGTGCAATGCTTAATTCGAAGTGGCCCATAACTTACCAAAAAGGGAAACTGTCGCGATAACTCGGATCTAGCATTTTTCAAAACGGGGTCTAGGTTTTCCACTTCTCTGCTTTTAATATGTGAGTGCCCTTCGGTTGAATGCAGATTATACAACTTCGCCACTGGAGTATTTTTCCCCAGTTATCAGTTACAAAGCGAAGGTCCACAATCGCAAGTCAGATGATCTCACTCAGTTCAGAATCCCATTCCCAGGGGAAAAAAATCAATACTCCAGTTTCGAATTCATAGCGCAAAACCGCTGCTTTATTTGACAACAGATTCTCTTTAGCAAAGACCTTACAAACACAAAAGAGAGCACGAGAAAATGTCGTTTGATTACGATATACTTGAAAATTTACATTTTCCAGGAGTTGAGACTAACCCTGTATTCCCATAAGACCTAAGGTATGAGCCTTCTGGGAATACAGGGTTAGCCTCAACTCGGGGAAAATATAAATTGTTAGTGCTATTGTACTAGCAACATTTTCTCGTGCTTTCTTTTGTATTTGGTAAGTTCTTTGCGTAAAGGAATCTGCTAAAACAGCGGTTATTCGCTTTGAATTCGAAACTGGAGTATTTAATTTTCTTTACAGGAATGTGTAAAACGAGGAGCAAAATCAGTGAGAGAACCATGGCAAGAATCCGATGACGAYGGAAAAGTGATTTTTGCAACAGTACATACGGTGAAAGCAATTCAGTCGTGTATATTGATCCATTTTCCTTGATAATAGCCTTCTTACTGATTCTTTGTCATCTAGTATGGCGATGTCACTCATACATTTGTTGAAAGAAAGGATTACAAGGGTGTTTTTCTTCCCGGCTACAAGAAACCATTGGTGGAAGACAAATTGCTTTCCAAACTGTAAGTCTTGTTAAATTCTGCACGTCATCACTGTACACACATAGACTGTTACTATTAATGACTAATTATTCTTATTTAATTTCTTCCAGTCCGTCAGGTAAACTTTCCTTTGTTGACCATGTTACTTGCAGCCAACCAGATGATGAATTGGCTCCCGTTGTTAAATGGTAAATATTGCATTCCTGCATTAATTGCAAAATGTTATGATATGACTACATTGTTTACTATGATGATAATAATTATTATAGCCTATTCCATATTCATTTGGAAATAGGTATGAAAAGAACTTACAGTTTCACCGGTTTTGGTCGATTGATGACAAGCAGGTAGAGACTTAATATCAAGATGTTTTATGGTTTTGTAAAGGGTCTCGATTCAGCCCCCCTCCCCATGAAATAACACTATATACTCTGCGTTATTGGTTAGGTACTTATGGCAGCATTTAACTCATCAGATACCTCGTTAATTACGTCTTTCACATAGAGAAAAAAAAGAAGGTTGTTATTNGGTTAGCCTCAACTCGGGGAAAATATAAATTGTTAGTGCTATTGTACTAGCAACATTTTCTCGTGCTTTCTTTTGTATTTGGTAAGTTCTTTGCGTAAAGGAATCTGCTAAAACAGCGGTTATTCGCTTTGAATTCGAAACTGGAGTATTTAATTTTCTTTACAGGAATGTGTAAAACGAGGAGCAAAATCAGTGAGAGAACCATGGCAAGAATCCGATGACGATGGAAAAGTGATTTTTGCAACAGTACATACGGTGAAAGCAATTCAGTCGTGTATATTGATCCATTTTCCTTGATAATAGCCTTCTTACTGATTCTTTGTCATCTAGTATGGCGATGTCACTCATACATTTGTTGAAAGAAAGGATTACAAGGGTGTTTTTCTTCCTGGCTACAAGAAACCAATGGTGGAAGACAAATTGCTGGCCAAACTGTAAGTCTTGTTAAATTCTGCACATCATCACTGTACAAACATGACTTATTATTCTTATTATTAATTTCTTCCTAGTCCGTCAGGTAAACTTTCCTTTGTTGACCATGCGACTTGCAGCCAACCAGATGATGAATTGGCTCCCGTTGTTAAATGGTAAATATTGCATTCCTGCATTAATTGCAAAATGTTATGATGTGACTACATTGTTTACTATGATGATAATAATTATTATAGCCTATTCCATATTCATTTGGAAATAGGTATGAAAAGAACTTACAGTTTCACCGGTTTTGGTCGATTGATGACAAGCAGGTAGAGACTTAATATCAAGATGTTTTATGGTTTTGTAAAGGGTCTCGATTCAGCCCCCCTCCCCATGAAATAACACTATATACTCTGCGTTATTGGTTAGGTACTTATGGCAGCATTTAACTCATCAGATACCTCGTTAATTACGTCTTTCACATAGAGAAAAAAAAGAAGGTTGTTATTAATAACAACGATTAACGAAGTTATCATTTTCATAAGATTTAAACTCACTTCCGGTTGGGAATCCTGTGGTACTTGCCCGCAAGCCAAAGCAATTTTGGATCCTTATCTCAATGACCTATATATCTCTTCACCAGTCAAACTTTTGCAACCCCCCTCCATTCATAAAAAATCCTGGGTCCGCCCCTGCAAATACCGCAGTGCCCGAAACGCTTATGTCTACCCCTCAATAAGCTTTGCAATATTCGTTTTGTAGATTCTTTCCAAGTATACCGCCATGAGGACAGTTGTTGTTACAAATCACGAAGAAACAATTAAAATGCCCATCCTTGAACCTGCCATTGGAATCAAAAAGAGCCAGGTTCAGGTAAAGAATCAACAGTAAAAAACACTTGAAGATTCAATTAGAATGCACTAATTTAGTCTTTATTGCTTTTTTCAAATTGTTTCAGGAATACATTGATTATTATGGTACAGCTGGAATACAGCACATTGCACTAAACACATCAGATATTATATCAACTGTGAGTACTATGTATTCAAAGTTGTCTTACGCTGCCAACAAAAAAATCACATTACTAATTATTAGAACTCATGTTTCTAAATGATATATCCACTACTTGTCAGGCAGACCATTATTTTCATTTTTATCTTAACATGGGATTCCTTTGCGAATTTAATGGAGAGCAGCATTCTGGGACAAATAGATAGGTGGATCTCAACATATCATAAAAAAAAACAGGAATCCCAACCAATCAAATAAAAAAACAACAACAACTGAATAAAAAAAGCTAAAGCAGTTTCAGAGAGACTCTGCAATATTGGGTTGCGATTTGGTATTACTTCGATACACGGGTATTGTTGTATTTGTTCTTCTTTTGTGATTATTATTTTTGCTCGTAACTTTCCTTAAATCAAGGTTGCAAACTTGAAAGAGCGAGGAGTGGTGTTCCTCTCTATACCAGACAAGTATTATGACAATCTGAGGGAAAGGCTCAAGAAAGCTAGCATTACTGTTAAAGAAGATCTGGACATTGTAAGTTGCACTTTAGAAGAATTAATTCTGGTTCAATTTCCAGCTGCCTACAAGCTGTCATGACATAAAAAATACTCTCTCTTAGACAAGCGACCTCAAAGACTGCAAAGAGCAACTCAAACAGAGAGGCAGGAGCGAAAAGTACTGTTACGTCGTCTCTTTTTTGTGTTAAATGAAAAGATTTGATCATATGGCATGGTCCTATGTCCTCCCTGGCACTATCGCCTTGTGAATGCGGATGCATGACCGAATGTTCACCTTTTGCGAAAGTTTATGTTCCTTTCTTTTTTCTTTCTTTTCCGCGCGCCCATGTAATATCCTCTATTTATATTTCAGCTTCAAAAACTCAACATTTTAGTGGACTTTGATGATCAAGGATACTTACTACAGATCTTTACCAAACCCATGCAAGACAGACCAACTTTGTTCATTGAATTAATCCAAAGGCATAATCACAATGTATGTATCGTTATTGTTTATATAGAGGATTTAATATAATATTAATCAATAATAGCCTGCTTCCGTGTTGGCGCTAGAGTATAGATTATTGTTTCTAGCTCTCATAGATTTCTCTTCCTTCCATGGAAGTTAAATGTATGATCTGGGATACCTGTGGCTTGATATACCCCCAATAGCCGACTTGCGAATTTTGCCTCAGTAGTCACACACAAAGGAATCAAGACGAGGCGCCGTGCATAAAGCTCAGTCACTCGTGAAAACACAATAGTTTTTCACAATTTACTGGGCTTTACGCACGGCGCCTCGTCTTGACCTGTGTAGTAATATACTCCACGTCTCTCGGGAAGGTCAATGGCCTATACGGAAGAGTTGCTCGGCACACGTCTCATTGTAATCAGAGGTATCATTTATTGTCATTTTGTAGGGTTTCGGTGTTGGCAACGTCAAATCGCTATTTGAGGCTATTGAAGCAGATCAAGCAGAACGTGGCAACTTGTACTGACTTAAAAAATATCTTCCTTTTTTGTTTATGATAAGGAAATAATAAATTCTTCATTCATCTCAAATTTGCTGGACAGATGTATAACGCTGACCACCTCGAGATAAAGTCCCGCCCGCTCTGTTTGATTAACGGAAGAGAATCGGTCGCGATTTTTATGCGAGGGCGCATAGTTTTGAAATCGGTGGTAAACTAGATTTATTTGTAACAGGATCTAATGTTTAAAAGTAATCAGTTGATTGATGTCTTTTAGTTATAATGTAATGCAGAAAAATAAATGAAACATAACCAGTCGTTATTTGTTACTTATATCAGAAGTACTTCTGCACTGTGATTTAGTTTGATAAGGATAAAATCGATTAACAGAATACAACATAAATGAAATAATGTTGATTTAACTGAGGGAGGAAAACCGTTGTGGCCAGAAAATAAAAAATACTTACATGAAAAGGAAGATACAAAGTCAGAAGAGTTGTATCATATCCGTCGAGGCACGGGATCGTCGTGACGTAATTATACCAGAGGTAATCCGCATTTCACTAAGAGGGAACGTCGATATGTGTGCGCACCTGCGCCGAAGCATCCGTTTCCGGTTGTACCTCCACTTCGTGTTTTGCAAACTAATTAGTGCTACCACACTCTTAAAGAATCATAACCAACCGCCGTACATTGCGAGCCGAAACGCCATTTTAGGTGGACACGAAAATGGCGGATTTGTAGGATTTCTTAAAGTGAGCGCGAATCGTCTTCCGTCCTTTCAGTTTGGACAGAAATACCTTTAACTAAGTACCTCACAGGTACTATCAATCTATAATTTATTGTATGCTTGACGTATTTAAACGTTTGTAAACAATAACACGAGCGCGCAAGGTACGGCGGTTGGTTATGATTCTTTAATCTATTGTTGTTGTTTCAGATTGTTTTGTTGTTGTTGTTGTTGTTTTTTTTGTTTTTGATATTTAGCAGCGAGAACAAACTATGCACAAATGAAAAACACTCTGAATCGGAAAATATATATTTCTATCTGCTGTCTATTATCACTAATAGAGTGCAAATAATATATCCTTGAAATAGATAGCCAACTAATTACCGTGTCCCCCTGCGGCACGGCTATAAATGCAGCAACTTTATTTTTATGATTATTTTTTTTCCCATTCGCAGTTTAGCAATTCCAAGGGGCCCATAATCCAGAGTTCCAAGGTTCGATCCTTGACTCGAGCACATCTGAAAAATTATTTCTTTCTTTTTTTAACTGAACCTAGAAATATAGGTGCTCTAGTCGTGTGATATAAGTATACAAGGGCAGATATCAAGAAAAACGGCAAATTAAGCGTTAATTCAGAGCTAAAACCACATCACAAAGTAAGAAAAAAGTTTTTTAATTATTGTTTCGATCAAAAATGTCATATTTACATGCATTCTAGATATCGCTAAATGAGCTAGTCAAACGCTTAGCTTGGGTTGCCTGTGTAGGAGGAAGTAAGTTGGGGGTGGAGCGTTTGGGATGTTTCGGAGGCTAGCAGATCGTTCTTTTCTGTCTCTCAAGTATTAGTAGGGCAGTCTATGCACGTATCGGGGACGAGCTAATCATGTAGTGAATACAAGACATTTTGCCCATATGTACACTCTTCTTGTATGCCGTTCTTGAATTGTTAGGAAATCAAGATGGCGACTGGCTGGTCAAAAATTACAACAGAAAACAACAACTTCGCACGGTTGTGTAAGTTGTTAATCGATGGAGGAACTCATGTCCTTAGAGAGGTATTTGATGCCAGACATCCACCTCATGATCTAAATAGACATCTAACGGATCCTGCTATCTACTCAATCCTGTCTGACTTGTACCACAAAAGAAAAATATTGAAGGCAGATCAGTGGGACAAATTGTATCCAAGTATTGGAACTGTAACTTCGCAAAGTTTTGATATTACTCTTTTAAGTTTACTACTGAGGCATACGTCTTTTTTACCGACACCTGCCAACGGCTGGGATAAGGAGCCTGCTTCAACAAGCATCAACCCAGAAGATGATATCGTAAGGATCAGACTGTTTCGTAATAAATTAATACATGTTCCTGGTGCGGCTTTATCAGATGCTGATTTTACGAAATACTGGGATGACATCTCAGCTGTGATAATTAGACTTTGTTGTGGAGATAAAGCAGTTATTAAGGCAGGCATTGGTAAATTGTCGGAATCATTTCAGCAATCACTCAAACCACACGAATTGGAAAGTATATGTAGAGCTTTCTTTAATGAAATGCCTATGTTTGCTAAATTGATCAATTCAAGAGGAAAGGACCTTCAGGAAGATCACTTATGTGCACCCAGTAATGAAGATATTCAGAAAAAGCCATCTGCCCTTTCTTTGATGTTGAATAGAATGAAGATCTTTGCAAAAACATTTTGGAACAAAAATGATACTATGCTTATCTTTGTTAAACGTATGACTGGAAAAACTATAATACTGAAAGTTGAACCAAGCGAAACCATTGAGAATGTTAAGACAATGGTCCAAAACAAAGAAGGTGTTCCACCAGATCAGCAGCGTCTTTTATTTGAAGGGAAGCAGCTTGAAGATGGCAGAACTCTCAGTGAGTATAACATTCAGAAGATGTCAACACTTCATCTTGTGTTAAGAGGAGGAATTCATATCTTTGTTAGGAGCTTAGAAAGGACTATCACCCTTGAAGTTGAACCCAGTAGCATAATTGAAGGTATTAAGGCAGAGATTCATGTCGAAGAAGGCATTGCACCAGACCAGCAGCGTCTTATATTTCAAGGGAAGCAGCTTGAAGATGGCAAAAGTCTCAGTGACTATAGCATTGAAAAAGAGTCAACACTTCAACTTGCGTTAAGATTGAGAGGAGGAAGAATGCAGATCTTTGTTAAGACCATGACAGGAAAGATCATCACCCTTGACGTTGAACTCAGCAACACAATTGAAGATATTAAGTCAAAGATTCAAGACAGAGAAGGCATCCCACCAGATCAGCAGCTTCTTATTTTCACAGGGAAGAAACTTGAAGATGGTAGAACTCTCAGTGACTATAACATTGAAGAAGAGTCATACCTTTTTTTATTGTCAGTTTATCATAATGGAAACTGCTGTATCCCCCCAGAATACTACATTCAGTACTTACAAGAGTGGTTTGATTTTGAGGAAGATGAAAGTGAAAAGTAATAACAGCCATTAAGTGCTTTTACTCCCGCTATAAGATTTAATAACCTGTGGAAAGGAAGTGCTTCTACTATCTGATATAAACTATTGAGGATAAGAAATACTTTATTTGAACTGAACCTTATATACAACATATGAGAAAACATTTTTCTACATGTTGTACAACTCAGGAAAGAAACCGCAATTAATGAAACGATTTGTTCCTGTTACTGATGAATCCACCATAAACATCACAAGTGCAGTAGAAAAGTATACTTTTAGCTGCTTTTCAAAGCGATTAGAAAGCAAAGGGAAAAAAATAGAATTATCATAATAATAAATAAAGGGAAAAGGTGATTGTCCTACATCACAGCACAGGTACTGAATTGCAAAATGCAGCTCGACAAGCTCTCAAGTTGAAGTGCTATATTACAGATACATTTTACATACACTTACACATAGGAGTGCTGCCAGCTAGGCTCTTCCTTTACATAGCACCATCAATAGTTCGTGGGGAACAGCAGATAGAAATGGTTCGTTTTTACTGAGGGAGGAAAAACTGCAAGAGACCCAGAAAAACCCTTTGAAGCAAGGGAGAGAACAAATGTATGGCATTCCCACCGAGATTCAAACAGGACCCACAGAGGTGACGGGCCAGCACTCTCACCACTCACTCGGCCACCACTTCTTTCCAATTCCATATTCATTGCAATTTTTGTGGACAATGATCAGATAAAAAAATGTTCTGTCTGCCTGTCTATTTTGATCCCTAAAAATTTAGAAAGTCATCTTATTATATATATAAAAAAAGAATGAATATACATTAAAATAAAATAAAATAAGTAATTATAGTTAAATAAATTTCAAGAATATTTCAGTGAACTCAATTGTTGATTCAATTAGTATATGCTGACTAATCTGGTCGCTCTAAATATTTTGTATATTAGTGTTGTTAGCACTGACCCCCCTGTAAATTCAGTAATTAATTGCGAGAGGTGTGAATAAACATGATTGATTGATTGATTGAAAGTTCGAAATTTGTCCTTTGCCCTGACCTTGGTTGACATTGAATGGGCAGGGTTCCAAAAAAAACATTTTTTATTCCATGCACTGCAATAATTCTCTATCATATAAGTAGAGCAAATCTCAACTGACTTTTTTGTTTTCGAGCTATCAAACTGACTGCCAGCCCGTTCTACTAATAATTGGGTTTCCTGTGTCAATGGAGGTGTGCTGGAGGTGTGTGCATGGTATCCCATAAGGCATTTCGCGTCACGTGGAGTATTTTTCTTTCGTTCGACGTGGAATTGAAGAAATTTTCTCCGTTTGTTTTCCAACCCGTAAATTAACCCTAGAAAACTGTAAAAAGGATCAAAATGGTACGCATAAAATTCTTTTACATTTGAAAAATAGGATAATTGTGTTAAGATTGATTAATTTGTTTTATACCTCTATTTTCAGACGACATACTCAGATAAAGGCGAAAAGGTATTTTTCACTAATGATTCTTTAATGTGCTCTAGTGAATACGAACTTTAAGGGTTTAAGAAGTATTTTCTAATGAATGTGAGTTTATCTATTTGTATCAGCCAACTGTTGGACGGATGTTAGCGTTTGACCACATCACACATTGGGTTGGAAATGCTAAACAGGTAAGATTTTGTCTAAACAAAGCTGCTTATACAATTTATAGTGTTTTATATTCAGTGCTTTATATAACTTAAACAACGTTAAGTTTACGCATTATTTTCAAGAATCAATTGCGGTTAATTGTTAATCCATTCTTTTAAAGTATAAAAGTCGTGACTTTTTGTAGTCATAATTTTCACTTTAATTTGACTTATAYAACTCATTAATAATTCATGAACCATTACTCCAATAAGGGCTGTCTATTTGGTCAGGTGATTGACCTTGTAAATCTGATACAACACTAGTATAGAGTACTCAAGTGTGACGTCACAAAAATTCTTTTTTTTCGAATTTTTCGTATTCGTTGAAATATCCTTGAAGCACATGGAAAAATATGTAGTTCAGTGTCCAAGTGCCATTTATAGCAGAGATACAAGCGATTTTATGATTGGGTGACCACATACCAACGCTTGTAAATTTGGTCTTGCTCATAACGAAAGGAAGATGCTTTCCATGTGGGAAAAAAATCGTTTAAACTTTCTCTATAGCAGTAAATTGTGCATGCTTATATAGCGACTAAACTCAGCAGTTACCTTATTCGAGATTATACATGTAGTTCATACAACAAAGTTGCTCATGTTGTATGTTTACATGAAACAACAATGATATATTAATATCAATAATATAATAATAGATATTAACACAATGGGTTATTTAATGATTTATTGTTACACAGGCAGCCTCATATTATTGTACTCGAATGGGTTTTGAGCCCATGGCATACAAAGGATTGGAGACAGGCTCTAGAGAAGAAGTAGCTCATGCTGTTAGGCAGGACAAGGTGACAATGTTGCTCTACAGTAGTTCAAAAAACAAACTTCATTTTAGTGCTTGTTTAGAAGGTTGTCAGTATGTGGTAGAATTTGCTTTCCTGGTTTGTAATCAATGATAATAATGATATGTAATTATATTATATTAACTTTGGCTCATATTTTGCAGATCGTTTTTGTTCTAAAATCAGCGCTTGTCCCCAATAATGAGCTCACAGAAAGTAAGTTTCTTAATTTCTCAATGAATTCTCAAAATGAATTAGGATAAGATGCTTTTAGAGATATATTAGTGCACACTAAAATGGGAGGCTGTAACTGAACAAATAGATTTAAACTTTAACTATCTTCTTGAATATTCTTATTATCAATTTATCTTTTTCTCCTGTATAATGAGAATCCTTTGTGTTTGCTGTTTGTCAGTATAATTATTATAGTTTGTTGTTGTTGAAGGGAATTCAGGTTTTTATTGTTATATTTTACTGTATTTCAACAGCCATGGGTAAACATTTGACTCTGCATGGTGATGGTGTGAAGGACATTGCTTTTGAAGTTGAAGATTGCATTAGCTTGTATAAAGTAAGTGGTAAATCATGACGTATTTCTTTAAAGTTTCAATAAACATGGTTACTGTAAAACGGTGTAATATAATTTGTAGTGGTGTCAATTCCAGAGAATGTATGATTGAGCAAGCCTTTATAACAACTTGATCTTCATGCAGTGGCTCAACTTTATGAGCAGCAAAACATTATCAGAGTGAATAGCAGAATAATAAACATTATTGAAAATGGATTGATATACACATTTTAATGTCATGGCAGGAATGTGTAAAACGAGGAGCAAAATCAGTGCGAGAACCATGGGAAGAATCAGATGACGATGGAAAAGTGACTTTTGCAACAGTGCAAACAGTGAGAACAATTTAATCACTTAAAAACATTCCAGGAGATTCTATTTAAACTTTATAACTATTATATCAAATTCATGTCGTTCTTTATAGCCATATCTTAATGGTTATTTTTTCCAATCTAGTATGGTGATGTCACTCACACTTTTGTTGAAAGAAAGGATTACAAGGGCATTTTTCTTCCTGGCTACAAGAAAACAATGCAGGAAGACAAATTGCTGGCCAAACTGTAAGTACTCTTAATCAGTAAACGTTTTTGGTTAATTTAATTGCTGCACTTGTAAATACTGTCATGATCAAATTCTCTGTTCATTTTTCAAGTCCATCAGGTAAACTTTCCTTTATTGACCATGTTGTTGGCAATCAACCAGATGACCAAATGGTTCCTGTTGCTGAATGGTAAATTTACATCATTCCTTCAAGAATTCTATACCAAACTTTGCATAGATTTATAAAATGAATAAGTATATTATTTGCTATGACAATATGACTAATTACTCAATGTTTGTGTTGAAATAGGTATGAAAATAACTTACAGTTTCACCGGTTTTGGTCAGTTGATGACAAACAGGTAGACTTATCAAAATGTTTTATGATGTGAACAAATAATACCAACATTATATAGTAGATGACTACTAAAAGAAAATGGATAGTGAATGAATGGATGAACGATTGTTGGACAGACAGACAAATGGATAGTGAATGAATGCAAATAGACTCAATATCAATATCAATCAAACATTACTACTTACTTGTCTGCCTGGTTGTATCATTGATGACTGAGTCAAAGTTTGACAATTGTGTCAAAGTCAAAGTGACACTGATCATCTAGTTATTTAACCTTATCGTAGTAAGGGTTTTTACAATGCTTTAACAATGATTTATCCAACATTATCATACATTTGTAATAATTTTTATCAGAGTGGATTTTGTCAACTTTCTTCAATCAGTGAATTTTTAGTGTATATCGATAATCAATAGCATATAAAGATTCATTTCTAAATTTTAATTTTGGAACTGATGAACAAAGTTTGTAACATTATCTTTGTAGGTCCATTCTAAGTACAGCTCTCTGAGGTCAATTGTTGTTACAAATTATGAAGAAACAATTAAAATGCCCATCAATGAACCTGCCCATGGAATGAAAAAGAGCCAAATCCAGGTAAAAACAGTAAAAAAACCTGCAGATTCATACCTAAGTTACCAATGTAACGATTTACAGTATGAGAGTTGCGTAACTAGTGTATAATTTAATGTAGGAGTGTTAGTACAAATGTATGCCAGACTTTGATCAGCGTCAAACATCACTGACCTCTAACACCAAAATGCATTTTTATTTTCAAATGGTTTCAGGAGTACATTGATTATTATGGTACAGCAGGGGTACAGCACATTGCACTGAACACATCAGATATTATATCAGCTGTAAGTACATTGTGTAATCAAAGTAATCATCAGATTACTATCAAATTATGAAGATAATAAGTATTAATGGGACTATTTAATAAGCCTACTTGGTCTAGCTTGGTTCTTGGTCCTGACAAAGCAAATATCAATATCCCATAACCACCTGTAGTTTTATTGGAAAACAGGAAGCTTAGCCTGTAAGAAAGCTAAACCATAAAAAAAATTGATTTTTTAATTCCCTCTTTTATGATCACTTTTTTTTGTCTTTCAACTTCCCTAAGGTTGCAAACTTGAAAGAGCGAGGAGTTGTGTTCCTCTCTATACCAGACAAGTATTACGACAATCTGAGGGAAAGGCTGAAAAAAGCTAGCATTACTGTTACAGAAGATCTGGACATTGTAAGTAGCACTTTAGAATACATTCTGGTTCAATTTCCAGTTGCCTACACAAGCTGTCATGACATAAAAAGACTTTCTCTTAGACAAGTGGCCTCAAAGACTGCAAAGAGCACATCAAACAGAGAGGCAGGAACTTTCTTGGCATTTATACAGTAATATATTTTTGGAGTTAAAAGAGAATGATTTTAGGGTGCCATCCTGCAAAAATGCACCGATACACCCCTAGGGAATTGCCATGAGAATCAACAGGCCTCCATCCCCAGCAGTATGTATCAGTAAAGGCTAAAAGGTACAAGATATACATGTCTTTTATTTCAGCTTCAAAAACTCAACATTTTAGTTGACTTTGATGATCAAGGATACTTACTACAGATCTTTACCAAACCAATGCAAGACAGACCAACTTTGTTTCTTGAAGTAATCCAAAGGCATAATCACGCTGTATGTATAAATTATTGTTTTTACATTAATCGCTAGCATTTGTGGTGCTTCATTGTGTGCGACAAAGTATAGATTAATGGTTCTAGCTATTAAATACTCCGTTCAATTTTTGTCCGTTTCGTCATTATGCTGCAACTTGACATGTCAATGGGGAATCAAATTTATCATGCGGGATACATTCCTGCATATATCCCTTGTGAAAGCGGCAAATATTTTTCAGCGCTCTCATTGGTAGAGTCCACCAAGTGTAGGCGATAGTTCCCGCCGCGCAGAGTTATTATCATCTGTTGTTGAATAAAAAAAATAAAACCTCAAGCATTTTGCTGTGATAGTTGCTCTTGGAAAATTGTATTTTCCTCAAAACATCAGTTTCCGCGGGCAACAATCGCATAATAATGTCCTAGATTCTACTACTCTATTGTTTACATAGAAAGAAAGGACTCATTGGATGTACCTGTGTATTTCCAAGTCTTTCAGAAAGGGAAACGTTTTCATTTATCACGAATACACGCATGAATGTTACCTTTCTTTATCACTATTATTTTTCATGTTTTTTAGGGTTTCGGTGTTGGAAACTTCAAAGCTCTATTTGAGTCTATCGAGGCGGATCAAGCAGACCGTGGCAACTTGTAGTCAATCTTCACAGTCTTAAATATATGATTATAAAAAAAGAGAAAATTGAAAGAACAGGCTGAAGTTAATATCCACTAAACTAATGATAAATCAAGGCGGTAGAATGACATACAGTGGATTCTTAAAACCAAGACATTGATTGCAGATTAAAATAACGCGGTTTTTATTGTGAATTGAACGCTGGCAAGGAAGTAAAATTTCCTGCAAATGTGTGGACTTTCTTTTTTATTCCATGAGTGGTCAGTGCCAGAACTCGCAGCAATCAGCCGTCGTGTGAAACCACCCACCGACTCCTATTGCACAATTCAATTGGCAATCTTTTTTATAGATTTTAGCTGGAACTGAATGATCGGATGTATGGATAAGAGTCGGTGGTAAAATTCTGATTTTGTGTCTTGCAAAGTATGTAGTCGTACTATATTTATACCTTGCATTTATTTAACTGCGACATCACAAACCAATGGCATGGTGGCAAACTGCCCGGATAACTATGAGCTTGTTGTATTTGGTCTTTTGGTATGTTAGGGGAAAATAAATAATAAATCTGAGTGTGTATGTATTTTATTTTATTATTAAAATAAGCAACTCGCGTAATCTATATAGTTCAATCTGCAACATTTATTTTATGTAAGTAGTAAAGACGGGGGAATCAAAATCAAGGATTTTTATAAGAGGGGTTTGTAGACCTTTGTAGCATTGGGTACACGTTGGTCAAAAAGCGCAGTTCACGAATCGTAAAAATAAAATAAAATTCAAAAATATAGAAAGGGGGGGTTCGACGCCAATAATCCAGAACACAGACACGCAAAGATTTCTATTTTGCAAGTTTTTTTTTAATTAATTTGTCTTTGAAATTGGGGAGGGGTCCTGGGGACAGCTTCTCTCCAGTTGTCTATGACAGCGTGCACTTACCAACGCCATGAAATGCACTAGTTGTATTGATTTACTTAGTTAGTTGAAAATGAAATTCCGGAGCAACACTGATTACGTTGTAGCATTCTAAACAAGATCATTCGTAAATCAAAATTCCAGCTAGCCTCCTTCGCAGACGTTATTCAAGTAGTATCATCTAGCATGTTCATTGTATGAAAGCCGCCATTACTGTTTACTGTGATTTAGTCCCTAGCCATCAATGTATTATAATTGACATTGATTTTTGCCTTATGCTGTTGTCTAAGGGCGGACAAATAGATGTACGATGCTTTATGAGACTCAGTTTTGATTCCTAGGGATGTGAAGACTTGTTGTAGCCCAGTGTTGCGAGCTTGTTCTACCTCAACTAGAGCAGCACCCTCGGCCTTGGCCATAATCACTGTTGCTTGTGATGTTGAGTTCTGAGTAATCTCTTTTGCTTCGTTATTTATCTCGTTTCTCTGACGATCTGTTTCTTTGCGCACAACCTGTATGAAAACAAAAGGTATTTTTTTTTTAATGAATAATATTATAATATATTTTTTGAATAATAATAATATAGTCTAATATATTAGGGTTCTTTAATGAGGAAATTGCTAAACAACGTTCGCAAGCTAATTGCTAGTTGGATATGAACGAGTGAATAATTAACAACAGTTGAGTAACGAATGGGTTTATTTCCGAAAGGAAATGGTAGCCTGCATACATCCCGTTTATCAGTTTATTCATTGATGTACATGGGATATATTATGATAATGATGTGTACTGATTACGGAGCTATTTGTTCGAATACCTTTTCTTCCAGCTGAAAGTTCGCTTCTTCTTCTTGTTCTCTCTCGATAACTTGTCTCAAGTAACGGCTCTTTACATCGTAATGGATATCAAAACCAAGCAGCTGAAAGTAGCGAACCTCGACAAAAACACCCTTGTCACTCTTTTTACAGTCGCGGTAAGGTAAGCAGTCTGACCTGCACTTATACAACTTACAGTCCTTTCTACAACACTTTCCTCCCAGACGATCAGCAACTGCTTTGAACAGTTTACTCTCAACGATCTCTCGTTTTCTTAAAAAGATAATAATACATCGAGATTCATCGAGGAATACAAATTAATTAATCATCAATTCAAGTTAATCTTGCATGTTTCAAAAAGATCCTGGCTCAAAACGTTTTGCTGCAGCCTGAAAACGAGACTCAATATAGAAGGTCGTGGGTTCGAGTCCCAGCGAGGTCGGAAATTAATTTTTACGAATTTATATTCCTAAGGGTCTTTCTCCTGGAATTGCCTCCTTCTAAGCACTATAACCGTTCTTTCATTCTATATCGTGTACAGCCTTTTGCACAAATTATGAGACATTTATATATATATAAATATACCTAACCAAATATCAAAAACACCCTAGAAATTATGGTATATCTCTATTATATTTTGTCATGATTGCCTAGCATCAGGTTGTTACAGACAAAATATCAGCGACGGTATCCCATAATTTCTTGGGTGTTTTTGATATTTGGTTAGGTATATTTATATATATAAAAATGTCTCATAATTTGTGCAAAAGGCTGTATATCATAGTACTATGCGGTCCTCATATTCATATCATAGACTCATATTGCTCGAAAAGTCACCATGTTTACCTTATGAAATCCCCTACTGGGATATCTGTAGCAACCCCTTTGATGACCGCATTAGCTGTTGATTTGATTACTGGTTTGTAATACACGTCATATTCCTGGTGAAGATCCGCTAAATCCTCGGGCTTTAGAAAATACTGAAACGTACAAGATACGGTCACTTCCACTTTGTCTGCGGAGTACGTTGAGACTTGATTCAAAGTCTCAAAATGGGCGTCAGCTTCAAATGTCTTGAAAGTGTAGTCGGGTCCAATCAAATACCTTCCAGATGAATACACTCTCGACAAATCTACTTTACCAGTTGACTTTTGCTTTACTAATGCAATCTGTAAAAGATCATAAAAGATTATTTGCATAGGATCCTCACTATCACTATCAGTTCCGTAGGCTGACTTACACTTGAATGGGAGGGTTCGTTTTTTATAATGCGGACCTAAATTTGAATTCAAAAATTTAAATTTAAAAGTGTTTAACTAAAGTAGTTCAATGCACAGGTATACACCCTTTTAATAAGTCTCCAGGTATTGATTTTTCCGCACTTGACGTCAAATTTATTCTTTTGAAATTTTGACAATACAAAAGGAATTGAAAAGAATAAATTTGACGTCAAGTGCGGAGAACACAATACCTTGGGACTTATTAAAAGCGTGTATAGTGTGTACGAACTGGCTGCTAGAATGAGCAGTTAATTTAACAAATTAACGATAGTTTACCACAGTTGGGTCATCGAATTGTCTAGATTGTTGTAGATCCACGAGACATTTGTTTTTTACCACAAATAATTAGGAGGAGCCGACGGGTTCCTGGGAGAAATATATCTGTTCTTATGTCCCCGCCAGCTGTAAGTCACAACTGGTTGCTAGCGAAAAATTCAGGAAAAAAGAACTCTCCAGGCAAGGAATACTTTCTAAGAATTTTTGCCAGGAAAATAAAAATTTCCTAACTAAAAAAATATAAGCCGTTTTTGACCATAAGAATGTTATAAAAGCCTTTTTAACCATAAAAACGTTTTCCAGGAATAAAATTATTTTAAAGAAGGAAGGGCGCCACATTTGCTTGTGAGATTGTCAACAATCGTAGCTCAAAATCCCTTTTCCAGGAAAAAATTCGTACAAGAACAGTTCTTTAGAAGAACAGAACCCGTTGGCTCCTCCTGAATAATTGTTTTACCAGTACTGCGCGCGTTTTGCAAGCTAAAAGAACAACTGAAATCTCATTTCAAACTGAACCAAAACATCTATTTCAACAAACCATGATACCTTTTCTTTGCTTTGTCTGCCCAGTCAGGAATTAAATTTACAATGACAGAATAGTCGGGAAAGTCCATTGATTTTTGTTTAAAGTATCAAAGTTAATCGCGAGTCAATTAGCGACCGTGGTATGTACTTTTATTTACCACGGCTCTCGACCAATAAGAAAGGCAGAAAGTTATCACATGTGATACTCCTCTATCTCAAAAACAGTTCATAACAAAAGAATTTAAAAAGAACAAGAAAAAAATCGAGCCCACCGAACCCCAAAACCCTGACAACGATCACTTAGGGCAATCGCGATCACAATCGTAACAATCATCACAATTATTGCTAGATTTCAGCCGCACGGTCACTACTATGGCGACATTGCAGTTACAATTTCACTTCATTATGAAAGAACACAATCGTTATTACAAACTACCATATAAGAGACACGCAATCGTAGCGCTCAGAAAATATTTAAAACATACATAAATCTCAGTTTACTATCCACTAGCAATGACTGCGTCTTTAATCGGTACTATGGAACTAAATGTCCTAAATCTGTTATGTTATGTATGGTATACAATAAATACTGCTTCGAGTGCTTCGTTTACACGGTCTCGGGCGAGCTCTGTCTTTGTTTGGGACCAGCAACAGTTTTAAAAATGCTTATCATTGAAAATGCAAAAAATAATTATTTCTGCAAACACGCTGTTGTATTCTTTATAAATACAGTGAATTATTACATTTTTTAAGCCGTACTGTAATCGTCCGAATTGTTCAATCGTTCACCATGCAATGCACAGATAACTCTTTGAGGGTCCCCCTAAGAAGCAACGGCTGAACAAAAGCGATAATGACCCTTCTGCCGAAGGACACTCCGCCATCCCGGGACCCCATCTCACCATAACGAGACCGACATAAACACGACAGATTAGACTTTGTTGAGCAAAACAATTCTGATGAACAAAAATATGAAAGCATTCTCATCAGATGTTTGTTACTTTAAATCTTAGTTTTGAATCAGGCCATAAATCTATGAAACGAGTTTATAACGTATAACTTCTAATTGACAGATGAAGGGAAAATGAATTCGACTTGTATCGCTTTCGGCGCTAAACATATTATCACCCTGGTTTATAGCCTTCAAACATGACATTGACATGGACCTTGTATTCAGAGGTTCAATTTTCTGTTTCTCTTTAGGAGCGGAATACAGTTCTACAGCCTCCAAACTGAACAACATAGAACAGTAAAGTCAAACCTCTGAAATCAAGGTGTAAACTCCATAGTGAGATCTTGTGTAAACGGAGTCAAGAAGAGAGACTTTCAAATCATTTGGTATATGCATGAAATGGAAAATAATCACGACAATACAAACCGTGACCCGCGAACAAAAGTGTTCTCCCGTGTAAAGCTCTCACCTGATAATATTCAACGTTTCCAAAACTCATGGGTAAAAGTACCACAAGTAATATCACACCAATTACAAATAGAATCGATGCTGTACATCTCATACAACTAAAGTCAGAGCCAGCCATTATGTACTGTAAATATGTATTAGATAAGGACCTTTTCTGTAAACCGCGACAAAAGCGTTTACAAGGAAATAAATTGGGATGAGGTCCTTCAGGTTCACTCGTTGATGGGATGTGCCGCAGCTTACATTGTGACCTTTCGTCACGCAATCCATTGGAAACCAGTTTATCTCTGATTCGACATTCCACAGGAAGCCCTATTTTCTTCCCCTGCGGACCAACACCAAACCATCCGCTCCTGTTTTCTCCAGTTTCCAGAATAGATCAAAAAAGTTATCCTTAGTGTGGACCTGGATTGTGTTTTTATGGTGTCATTATTGTTTTTAGTCGAGGTACCAGAGGCGATATTCTATGTAAAATCTTGTCACCGTGCCCAGGTTTTTACGGCCGACACAGTCTTAAGCACTTACCTATCACTGATGAGGAGTTGAGACTGCTAAACATTTTTGCTATTTGGGGTATTAAAAACTTTCCAAAACACGAGAGGTTGGATTTTGAGCGGCAACTTTATTTAAGGGAAAACTTACAAATGGTCACAAATCGAGAATCGAGAGCGAATAGATTTTCATTGACAAATGAATAAAACGTATACAACATCCGTATAAAAAAATAAATGAAGCTAGTCAATCTGTAGCCTGAGTTTCATCAATCGTTTACTCGTAGAGAATGAACCGGATGTACGCAGGCTAGTTAGTCAATTGAAGTTGAATTTTAAACGAAAACAGTATTTTCATAATAAAACTGCGCAATTTCGCGCAAGCGCACAAAATATTCAAGTCGCCATTGACTAGTAGCCTGAGGTTGGCTCTACTAGGGRAGGGGGAGAGGGGGAGGGGGAGGGGAGTAAGGAATGGGTATAAAAAAATTTTCCCCAGCGAACCAACACCAACCCATCTTCACGTGTTTTAAATTTTTTAAATATCGGAAGCTAGTCGTATTTTAAAATAGTTTTAAACATACAATTACTGTAAGACTTCCAGAATTTTTTAAGTATATCAATAATTGTTCTTTCAGTACATTTTTATTATGAAAACACGCGTTAACTTAATCAGTGCTTTTTGCTTAAATATATAATACAAATTATAATAATTCGACCTTTTTAGAATTTTAGGACCGGTTGTATGAATGGTGAATATCGTCTATAAACCCTCATCAAGGATAAAATCCATTCAAACTATATTAATTGTGGATAGCTTTGTGGAGTGAATAACTTTATTGGGCTTTCGTACAACTGACCTGTGTCTGTTGTTTATCGGCATAGCTACTATGAAGTAAGCTAATCGCATTCTAGCTATTCTAGTGGTTTTTGGTAGGTTGAGCATTTTCTGCAATTAACATCTGCGCCGATACAATTCAAAAGATTTTAGCCTGGCCAGATGATGGTGAAGTGTCTGTGAGTTACTTTTTTTATTTAGCTTCACTGGAAGCACTGTATGTTTATTGCATACAGCTGTAGCCATGATACCTGAAATCCTTAGGCCTGAAAAACTCGTTAGATCACAAATAAGAACAGAAACAAGAAGAAGAACCGAGAAGAACTAAGGAAAAGAGGAAGCACACTTTGATAAATTTACATGTGAAATTGATACTGCACCTTGAGGTGGCGATAATCAGACAACAAGTCATAACCAATACATTTTTAGAAAAAGACGAAAATGTCACAATATTGTCCTTAATCCCTAGCCATCAGAGTGTTATAATTAATATTAATTTTGGCCTTATGCTGTTGTCTTAGCGCTGTCAAGTAAATATACGATGCTTTATGAGACTCAGTTTTGATTCCAAGGGATGTGAAGACTTGTGCTAAGCCTGTGTTACGGGCTTGTTCTACCTGGACTAGGGCATCAGCTTCTGCTTTGGCCATAATCACTGTGGATTCTGCTGATGCATTTTGCTTTATCTGCTGTGCCTCGTTTTGCAGGGTGTTCATTAAACGGTCTGTTTCCTTGCGCTCAATCTGGAAGAAATAGGCGAGTCTTAGTACGATACAATTCGTTAGGTAACAAAGCGCCCCAGACGTCTGCCCGGGATGTTGCCAGAACCTTAGCTTAGTACTACTTTGACTGGGAACTAACCTTTTCCTTTAGTTTGAAGTTTGCTTCCTCTTCTTGTTCTCTTTCAGTGACTTGTCTCAAGTATCGACTCTTCACGTCATTGTGGATGTCGAAGTCGAGCAGCTGAAAGTAGCGAACATCAACGAACACCCCTTTATCACTCTTTTTGCAATCTCGGTATGGTAAACAGCCTTGTCTGCATTTATTGACCTTGCAGTCCTTCCTACAACACTTTCCTCCCAGACGATCAGCAACTGCTTTGAAAAGTTTGTTCTCAACGGTCTCTCGTTTCCTTAAAAATATAAAAATATTTATACAAGTTATTTTCATGCATAGAGGATGGTGAATCTTAATTCTAATATAATATAGTTTACTTTGTTATACTTTATATTCTAATGAGCTTCTACCACCCTGCCCTGTATACCTTAGGTAATCTGATATAGTAATGTCTGCTGCGATGGATTTGATGGCTGCGTTGGCTGTTGAACGTACAATTGGTTTGTAAAACAAATCATATTGTTGGTGAAGGTCATGTAAATCCTCGGCTTTCAAAAAATATTGAAATGCAAAAGAGATTTCTACTTCGATCTTATCCTTCGTGAAAACACCAATCTTCACCAGTTTCTCGAAATGAGCGTCGGATCGAAACTTCTTGAATGTGTAGTCGGGCCCAATAAGGTAGCGACCCATTGTATAAACTTTAGTTGTATCGACTTTTCCAGTGGACTTCTGCTTCGCAAAACCAATCTAAAAATCAATTATATAATGTTGCATGAATCATTTTTTACATTCTTGGTAAATTTTAGTAGTTTTCCTTTAAACTGTAGCACACTAATGCTCGTTAAATCTTTCACTGGAACCCGAGTGAACGCTTCCGGAGCGTATTAAAGCCAACAATCAGAATAAAGAAAGAGTATTCCTTGATAGAATCTTTCGCAGCCTCTCCATTGGTAGAACTTCTCCTTGCCTGTTTTCCAGACAATTGGCATTTTCCGAAGGCCTTTGATCGACAATTCCCGAAAGCTTCATTTGATTGGACATTGATAGTTCGATTAATATTTCGGGAAATTTAACGTTTCCTTCCCACCTGTCCTTCGGTGATTTAGCAACTTCCCAGAATTCGTTTCTGCCTCAAATCAACCTTTCATGATTAACATGGCAAAAATGAATATTTATTGTTATAGGGAGTTAAGCGCGATATCCCGCTATTGCGAATGTTGGTTACATTTAGGTCATTTTGCTAGCACTTATTATTATATAGCGTTGATTGAACACGAAAAAAAAACAACAATAAATCGATTATATCGATTTTCGAGTTATAAATACTATAAATGTTTGAGTGTTTGACACACAATCATTGTGCGTCAGTCGTAATGAAGGCCGTGTACTATGTACATGTCGAAAAATCATTTCCATGTACTCGAAAGTTTATCTAAGAGTGTCAACTGAAGCGGAAAGATGAAACTTAATCGTTTTTTTACATKAGATAACCAATATTAAAAGTATAATATTCAATACTGAAAGTAAAAACAGTCATTCTTCATATTGTCTTTTCCATTATAACATTTGTGCTAAAACCTTCAAATCAATCTTTACTGAAGCTCACATAGCTTACGTACCTCATAATACTCAACATCTCCAAAGCTCATAGGTAGAATAATTATCAAAAGAAGTGCCCCCAGCGCACAGCCACCTAATATCAACATTTTGACTGAATTATCCATCTTTCAGTTGCGTTATAGGACCGTGCAGCCTTGTAAATTATGCTAGTTATAGGGGGTTAAGCACCAACTCCTTTATGTTCATTAGGATTGAGTATGCAAATTCCGTTTACTTATTGTTGCGTGACTCTAGCGAAGAAGCGGCTTGTGACCAATGACATATCAAGCCTTTGTGTTTTAAAAACAGATTTTTGCATACACAGTAGAAGACTAATATTTTTCAAATGCAGCCTTGACATAAGGTCAGGAATGATGTACGTACTATTGAAAAATCACCCATTACTTGATGCACTAGTTATTAGGAGCTTTTGTTGTGAACAGGGGTATAAAGATGATCAAGATTGCGCAGCTGTTTGTGGATTTCCTGTGTTTTATGACGTCATGTCAGCTGCCTGACTCGACCCAGTTTCCTGACCTGTTCTTTCAAGATGGCGGAGTTTACTTGAAGAAAGGCAGCCATTATCAAATGGATTACGAAAAAGACGAGCCTTTTAATCAAAATGAGTGATGAAGAATGATATATGAAGAATTTATACTTTGATACTGTATGTAGACTATGTCCAGAGGTCCGCCTCAGCGGTAAGTTTCTTATAATGCGTCATTTGAACTCGGTCTTTCATTTTGAAGTGAATGAGGACTCATATTGGTGTGTAGTTTAAATTATCATTATGAATGCTGTTCAAGTGGCTCTAACTCTTTCCTCTCTAATACGCCATTGTATAATTATTGTACATTAGTAAAGCATGATGTCCTTTTGAGTAACGATTCAAAGTCGAATCCCATGTACTTTCGAACAAACCGCCATCACAAACAATTACAATTGGTCTTTGAATAGAGTTGATAGACAGACATTGATGTATATTTTCCTTTGTGCATTGAAGATTCAGCTCAAGCTTTGAGAGAAACCGTGGATATCGGGGATATCTCGGGTAATCACATTGTGAACAATCATCGTGTCTCAGTCGTGATCATTTTACAGTCTTACTGTTTGTTTTGCTTTCTCCCACGTCTGTTGCACTTAGGATTTTGTTTTCTTTTTCTTTTATTCATCAAATTACTCATACTTTTTTTTGCACATATTTACGTTATGCTTCAACAAGCTTTCATGACATTTATTTTATGTTATGCAGTGTTGGATCAAACAATAAATAGCTTGATCATTTTGTCAGTCAACCATGAAAAATTATAATAAATGTATACAAACAGCACCAAAAAGTTGTGTTGATTATAATTTTAGCTGTCATATTTGACCACCTGCTTATTATTCAATATCTGCATGTTGCTAAAAATAATCAATGTGAAATTAAAATTAAAATTGTGGTTGATTCCTATTTATATAAAAACTATTTTATTCATTCAAATAAACATCTGCTTTTTTTTTCTTTGATAACATTTTGAATGTATTTTGCATGTTTTGAATGAAAAAAAAAAAAAAAAAAACTGAGTACACATGATTTAGTGTTTTATTTTGTTCTGAATTATACTAATTTTTAATTTATTTATTGATGTATAATAAGCGTATAGTAACACAAATATAAAATGACACAAAAAAGAAAAGGAAAATTTCTCATCTGCTGAAATTTTGAGGAGCACTCTAAGAAGCAGCCTAATGTATAAACTTCTTTTCAAAATATTGTCTTTTTATTATGATTGTAAACAATGCTCACTATAATTTATATAATGCAGTATTCATTATCTGTTAATGCATCTCAAGTTCTTAATTTTTCAGGTTTTTACATTTAAATACATAGCTATTTTCATCTTTCATAAAGTTCAATTAAGTTATGTGTGAATTTTAGTTATTCAATACAATAGTCCATATTGACTTGTTAAAATTCATTATTAGTAAATCTCGAATATTTGCCAGGAACATTTTGTTTCTTGAAACTATATTTCATTTTGCAACAAGTACCAGCTTTATTTTTACTTATTTAAAATTAATGAAAGAAAGGTGCAACAAATTTCATTCAGTATCATACTACGTCACTTTATTTATAATTTAATTATTATCTACTGCATTACTTAGTGTCATTTTAAGTGTTTACTGGATGTTTTTCTGCGTGTTTAGATCACATGGTTCTTTCAGAGGCCGTGAAGGTCAAGGTCCTGTATCACCCTTCAGGCAAGCAAGACGCATGAGCGAGGGGGATGTGAGGGTTTCTGGTGGGTTTGGGTATTCATCAGGATTTGACATCCCTGGATATAGACATCAGATTGATTAATGGATATGATTTTAATTGTGTGATCGTTAATAATAAATCCATTGGTTTGAGTGACTGATTGATTAATGGATATGAGTTTAATTGTGTGATCGTTAATAATAAATCCATTGGATAGAGTGACTGATTGATTAATGGATATGAGTTTAATTGTGTGATTGTTAATAATAAATCCATTGGTTTGAGTGACTCATTGATTAATGGATATGAGTTTAATTGTGTGATTGATGGATACATCACCTGTTCACATGTAAATAACTGACTGATTGATTGGTTAATTGAATTGTTTAAAATAAGACTGACCAATGACTATTATTGTCAGTTAATTGAAAAAAACTCGATTGATGGGTTGATGTACCTGTTGTAGTCACCATACATGTACATTGTATATATATTCCAATGACTGAGTGATTAAAGTTATTATGAAGGGAATTTTTTATTTGAAAAATACAGTCAATAGAAAAAAAATAACAGCTTGGCTAATTACCACTAGATGCAGGCTTCAAATTTCAGAGAAAATTGGAGTTAAAAATCCATTATGATAATTTGATGACTTCATCTGGTGTGCTCTATCAAATTTAAACTGTGTTTTGTAATGAGTGTTCCTAATTTACCCCTGTCAAACTCCGGAAAATTGTTTTCTGTAGCATAAAAAACATTTTCTACAAAACAATAAGGTGAAAATAAACAAAATTGGACAATTTTGTATAATAAATGAGTCAACATGGCACTTGACATCTTCAAATTAGCATATTAGATTTTTTAAATCCAATTTTCTCTGAAATTTTCTCTCTTCATATTGATTCTATTTTCGAAATAAAAAATCGCTTCATAAGCGCTTTAAATGATTGACATGGAATGTTACACTGACTTGTTTAGTGACAGTGATTCACATCTTTCTAACACAATAATTGAAATGTTTTATTGTATTATTAATGTATATTTTGTATTATTGATTTATATTCAGGAGGTTGGTTTAGGTGATTACAATGACTTTAGCTCTATCAGTTCTGATGAAGGAATCAAGACAGAAAAGTGAGTACTGAGATAACTAGTTATTCTCCCATTACAACAGAGTGTAAAATGAAAATTTTTGTCCACTATTAGTATACATATACAAAATATTTGGATTCTGATTTCAAGATGGATATGGATATTAATTTAGACTGTTTTCCCATTTAATTAGTGGACATTGCAGTGTACCAATAAAAATAGAATATAATTTACATTGTAAAATTATCTTTCGAAACTAGTGATAAGGAGAAATTCAGCTCTTGTGCATCCACAAGCCTAAAGAGAAAAGATCCTGACAAAATAGACAAAATTGAGAAAAAGAAGAGGCGTCTTGATGAGAATTCTTCAAAATCACCTGACCAAGCACCATCTTTATCCCCAAAGACTGTATCAAAACAATCCCCGCACATCTCCCCTAAGGAATCCCCAGCTGTATCTCCAAGGCTCTCAACAGAACAACCACCAAGTCAGCTGGTACCAAGAAATAAACCATTGAAGTCAGAGCATGAGGACAAGGAGCAAGATAAGGTCAATAAAAATAGCAGAAATCAAACAATACAGAACACAATCATCCAACTTTATAGCAAAAACTTTGAAGTTGAATTAATTTTATCATCTTTAGTTCCTTTTGACATGCTTACAATTTCACTTATGTTGAAATTTGTCTTGTTTTTCTAAGGATTCTTCAAATGCTCCTTTAATTGAAGATATCTCTCCAGCCAAGCCAGGTAATATAAAATGTGGGTTAGCTGTGGTAAAAATAACACAGGAATCCCATACAAAGCTAAAATATGCAATCTTTTTTTTATAGAAAAGGAGAATTCTACAACTCAGAATATCAGTTCAAATAAAGAAAACAACTCTTTTAATAACTTAACAAAGGAAGGCATTATACAGAGCATGGAGAAGCTTGATAGGGATATAACTCAAACAGAGCAACAGATAGCAAACCTTAAGAAAAAACAGGTAATGATCAAATGGGGTCAAAAGGGATCAAATGGGGTCAAAAAGGGATCAGGTAGTATATATGTGAGAAAATAAAATGGGAATAGGATAGAATATAATGTAGCTGAACATGATTGAATAGAATGGAATAGGATGAGAAGAGATAGAAGAGACAATGGGAATCCCAAAAAATAGCAGATGATGTAATGTCCATTAAGGTCAAGTTTAGGAAGTCTTAAAAGCTTAAAATTATGTACAAAAGAAGGTTGTTGTTTTTGAATGTGACAGAAATGATTAGAATAGAATATTTAAATGAAATTCATTGGTGGGAAAAAGTATAAACCAAAACTATATGGATATGAGAAGTGAAATAAGATAGATTTAGAATGAATATACTGTACTATATTACACAGCAACAATTGGAAGAAGAAGCTGCAAAAGCATTAGTTGAACCTCCACGAGAACCATCACCACCTCCAGAACCTAAAGTGAAGAGTTTGGTGCAAACTATTTATGAAGAAAATAGGGTAAGTTCACTCTAGTATGGAAAATTAAACAAGTTATTGGTTAAATCTATATTGATTTTTAATGGTCTTTCCACAACTTCTCTTTCAGAGAAAAGCCCAAGCAGCACATGCCCAGTTGTCCAAATTTGGTTTCCCGCTTCCTAATGGAAAGGTAAATGCTGTTGTGTCATGTGACTTCTCAGTTTGTGTCACAAATTTATTGGGTTCATTTTGTTTCTGTAGCCACTCTACAACCAGCCATCAGACTTGCCAATTTACCATGAAAATATTCGAAGGTTTGTAGGTCATATTATTTCTTCTAACAGTTTCTGAAATAGCAAGTTGTTGAAGTCATGGTTTATATCATTTATTATGCATGAGTCATTTCTAGATTATGACTGATATGCACTTGGGTTTAAAATTTTATTTTATGGTATACTAGGGCTCCAGCAGTCAAAGCTAAACTAGTCAAGTATTTCCAACTGAGGCGACAAGCTAAGGAGATAAAAGTACGTAAACTAAGCTACATCTTGAGACAAATGGTTGTTATTTTCATAAAGGGCCACTGGGTCATGTCAGTTCTCATGTCAGTTCTCTCAGTTCTACTATTATGTTTCACCCTCTTAAAATAAAGTCAAGTATTATATTATTATTGTATACTTTGAGATGGTATCCACTGTGTTTATCTGGGGCCAGTTATAAAGTTATCCATTCCTCAGAATTTATTTGTATTTAATTTTTAATGATTTTCTTGGTGGATAGCTTTTTTGCGCTTAACCAGGTTTAACAAGTAAATCACTAATGATGTTGTGTCTTTTGTTGCACAAAGTACAAGCGATATTAGATATTTTTACTCAATTGTATTGTGTCTTATAATATGCATTATGATATTCACAGAATCGTCAGCTTTGTAAAGAATATAAGACATTGAAGAGGTCATGGATAAAGAAAATGGAACGACTGGAAAACAATACCAAGAGAAAGTATAATATATAGAAAATTGATAAGAATAAACTTGGCTTTTGTTGATATTTATGATTGACTTTCCATTCAGAGCTAAAGATGCCAAAGTCAGGGAATTTTATGAAAAGATTTTTCCAGAAATTAAGAAACAGAGAGAACAAGCAGAGAGGTTTTCAAGGTAGGATACTTTTCATGCTTTACAAAGTCAAAGCTTTAGAGTGTATTCCAGGAAGCTATGTTTAAAACAAATTATTGATTCAGTGATGAGAAATGACGCACTAAACAATGTAGTACGTTTGGAGATTATACATAAGAGCAATGCATATACATGTATATGGGTTTATAAAATTTTTGATATGTAACATGCGCTCTGATTGGATGATGACTATGTATACCGTAAATGATCTAATAAATGACCCCTTTCTAATGAACTCCACCTATCTAATGAACACTCCCCTTATGCTTAGAAGTTTGTATTGAACGCCCCTCTCTAACAAACGCCCCCTGTCTATTAAACAGCCGCTTGTGTCTCTGTCCTTTGATGAAAACATGGTGGGATTTGAAAAGCACTCGAGAGCACACGCTCATGTTCTAAGCTTGCTTCTCTCGTATTCTTCAACTCCCACAGTTTTTATTAGAGGACAGATACATAAATAACCGGTTTGTAGTTCTTATAATAAATTATATCAAAAGTCATAATATGGAATGATTTACTCTTCCATTAATGATACAGTGTACATGTTTGTTCACAGAATGGGTGCAAGAAGCAGTTGGGGCATGGTTGCAAGAAGTGAAGCAGAGTTTAATGAAATTGTAGACAACCTCAATGAACAAGAAGCTAATGAAAAACACATGAGAACTTTAGCGGTTGATCCGCCACCCATGCTGGATAAGCATGAGAAAAGATTGACATTTATCAACAGAAATGGTAAGGAGTTCAATTCAGAACTGAATTTTTAGATATTTTATTCACTTTGTTTGAAATATTCATTGATATAAGCAGCTGAAAATGTTAAGCTTATTTCTATAATACTTCGGGAAAGAACCTATAAAAATATCCGAGCTACTTTGTGTATGTTGTATATTTGTTTATATATAGCAAATAATGATTATGGATATGTTGTTTATCTGTTTACATGAATTATAGCAAATGATGTTGTACACGTTGTTGATAATTATGGCATATATGTTGTATATCTGTTGATATATGGCATAAATTAGGTGTAGTTTGAATTGTCTATAACTGTTGTGCTATTGACAGAATCATTCCTTGTAATTAAGCCTCTTTGGTATCTTGTTTAATTACGTGTATTTTCATGACAATATCAATTTGTATTGCATTAGGATTGATACGAGATCCATTGGCCCTACTTAATGAAAGAAAATACAGGAACATATGGACTGAAAAGGAAAAACAGATATTTAAAGAAAAGTAAGAACATTACACTGTTTTATAAGCATTAGGAACATTGGAAACATTGTCAACAGTCAGTAATAGGAATGTGTGATTAACAGTAGCACCAAAATCCAGTGGAATTCAAAATAAATTGTAAAGCAACAATGTATACATGAAAGTGACGAAATAAAGAAATCTTATGAATGAAAATCTCAAAGAATGGATTAAGATGCACACAAATTATTTCTCCATAATCATTATTGTTTTACAATATGAATTGATACAAATATGTTTCAAAACGTGTTCAGTTTTTATTGATTTTTGTAAGTGGAATTTTGATTCACTTTTGAAAACCAACCTTTTTTGCCAAGCAAACTATTTAGAATTATTGAAATATTGAATATATTTTTTTTAATTGTCTTTATTACCAGGTACACATCAAATCCTAAAAACTTTGAGCTTATTGCTGCATTTATAGAGAATAAGGTATGATACCAATGACTTTTTATGACTTTTTATGACGATTTTATCAGCCTTCCTAATTTACTTATTATCACCAAGTGAACTGTTGTTCTTGTACTAAAAACATTATACAGGATTAAATCTGTTATATATTTTTCAATTACAGAGTGTAGCTGACTGCATACTATTTTATTATCAATCCAAAAAGAAAGAAAATTATAAACAGTTATCAAGAAAGCATTCACACAAGAGAAGACGCAGAGAACCGGTAGGTTTTCCATCTTGCATAGCAATACAAATAATTGCTGTATGCAAAAATATTAACCCTTCATGATCTAATGTAAGTACAATAGATTATCAAAGTAATGATGTCTCAAAGCCAAAATTGTTGAGATTTTATACTTGATTTTCCATATCCTGAAAGTGCATCATTTTCAAGGATTTTTTCCAAATTTGAGTGATTTTATGGTTGGGTGACCACATACAGGTACAAAGTTTATAGCTTGTAAATTTGGTCTTGTCCAAAAGAAATGGAAAAATAAAATTACAACTTACCGTTACTTTGTATTTCAGATATRAAATAATTGTAGTATTAGTCCATTTTTGAAATGTATAGTTATGTGATTATATAAATAGAATAAATGAAGAAAAAGCCACGCAACTTGTAACTAGGTTTTCTACAATGTAATGTAATGTAATTGGTTGACATTATTTGATATTATTAATTCATTTTAATACTCGTTTATGGATTATTTATTATTACTACTTTATGCACAGCTCTCTATCAGTAGAAGTAATAATAGTGGTAAAAGTCAGAGTATTTCTGAAGGAGGGTAAGTCTGGATAACTGCAATTTTTGCACTTTTTTCCATTGCTAGTTATTATGATCACAATTATTGGATGAGCTTAAGCTTAATATGTTAAACAACATATACAGAGGTCTATGATAAACAATATTATTGGATAAGCT